GAAGGAAGGAAGGAAGGAAGGAAGGAAGGAAGGAAGGAAGGAAGGAAGGAAGGAAGGAAGGAAGGAAGTCTACTAAAAGACTAGAAAGTGGCTAGCATGAAGAGACTCAGCCTCATTCATCCCAAATGAAGTCTACTACCACAAGATATAGTGATGGCCACAAATGGCTCTAGACCAACTGATGAAGGAGAGTGTTATATAATAACTCCAGAGTAAGACTTTACAGCTGAATACCAGTTGCGATTGATTATCAGCTGAAAAGCTATTATCTGTAGGCTTCTCAGATGCAGCTGGTTGGCTACTAGGAAAACCAGAAAGGCAGCTCAGCCTCTTTGGTCTAGTCCCTTAGGGCAGCGTTGTCCAAACTTGGCCACTTTAAGATGAGTGGACTTCAACTCCCAGAATTCCCCAGCCAGCCATGAGCCATCAGATACTTTACCCTTTTCCCCAATTTGCAATCACAATGTCATTTTAGGAACACAAAATTGTGATGTATAATTTGGTAAATGAAATACAAAAGAGTGGTTGGTTCCTAACTAGCTGATATTCTACAAAAATCAGATTAATAAGAATCAGTTCTAATTACAAACTTAGGAAAATATACTAATATGCTTAGAACAAGTTGGCAAGATACTGAATTCAGTAATTTTATCTTTCAGTGTATAAGTGTATATTTTCTATCAACCTTCGTTTTGTGCATTTCAAGATACAGAAGGTTGGAAAACATTGCTAAAGGAGACACATGGCATCACCAAGTTGTCAAGATTTACTTTGGTCATTCATATTTGCATGAAATGTATAATGCAAAGAGCAAATTATTATTTTTTCTACTTGTTTTCTCAAGTCATTTGATGACTTTACTACTGGCATCTCAAAAAGCCACTGGAGGACATAAGAAAGTATATAATCTTAGTTTTCGTTACAAAGTTTATGAACACAGTCAGGGCCACCACTCACTCTGACAACTAAATTTAGTTCCCACCGAGATGCCCCAAATGTCCTTAAGATGGGAGGGTTAGTGATGCACCTTCACCGTCTTCCAAATTTGCAAATTAAAAAAGTTACAAGCTGTTTTTTTATGTTCTAAGTACTTAAAGCATCCATCTGTATTTCCTTATTTGCTTTATGATGATTACTCTGGTGACTTAACGTTTGTTGCTGCAATCGTGTTTAACCTCTGCTTTGACGTGACTGCCCTAGTTTATGATGTTATTAATTGGTGATTGTATTCCCCCCCCCACCAGCGCCATTGTTTTAAAACTTAGATATGGGATGCGTACGTGGTATTAATAAATGGATCCACATGAGTGTTACAATCAATTTATGCTGCAGTTTCTTTTATGTATCGTATCTATGCAATCTGGTAAAAAAAAAAAAATCCCAGTGGGTAACATGAATCAGTCTGGACCTTCTAGATATGCTTCCAGTAAAACTCCCACTATTCCCAGGAAGCATCAGAGCTGCTCAAATTTTCACCCCACCCTTATCTTCACCTCCAAGCTCAGCAGAAACCACAAGCCATGCATTGTGACCTATTAGATAGGTCCAATGCTTCCAAAAAACTACATTTTTTTTTATTCCAGGTATTTTCCCCAAAAGTGTCGGTATATTTCTGCTTGTTTGTTTTTAAGGAACATGATTTTTCCTAATGGTTTTAAATCCACAGTATTAAAATCATTTGGTTGTTTTGGCAGAGACTAATTAAAATGTTAAAGTAAAACAATTTTCCGCTGTGTGCATTGCAAATGGACTTTTATTTCCTGCAGAAATTAAATAGATACAGCAACAGACAAATGAGACATATACACAATGAGTTTGGCTGCTTAGTCATGCAGTCCACATAAACACAAAATATACATTAACTCATGAACAATCGCTGAAAATATAAATGTTTGATGAAGCAGAGTTAGAACTTGTTATCTGGGCATCGGAAGCTGGCTAGATGCAGGAAAGAGAAACGGAGAGGGAGAAACCCAAATGGCAAAGATCTTGGCATACCCATTTTATATTTTTTTAGTATGCCTTCCCGTACTGGAGATGACCTTCAATGCTTAAGCATGCACACTTATAATAAAATGATGTATTAATTACATGCTTCTTTCAAGGCAAGAGAGTTCTACATTCTTGATGGTACAGTAAAGTTGGCAACCACCTCCAAAACATAGAACTGGTTTTTCAAGAGGAAGTTTTGAACCTCAAATCACTGGAGCAGCTGTTCTAATCACTTGTCTAATTTTCTAAGCTATGTTTGTAGGTTTATTGTTCACACGTGGTCTTCCACAGCATTCAAAGCTTGAAAAAGGAATGGCTCCAGATCTCCAGAAAACATCCTCCAGTGGTTTCATGAAGATGTTAAGGAAAAAGGAAGGACTATATAAAGCAACACCTCTCTATTTCAATTCAGTGAGGCAATCCAAAAAGATAATGCCATGGCTGATGATATCAAAAATTGTCAAGAGGTCCATCAGAAGTCTTATGGAGAGGATGGCTATTATAAATTCAAAATAATAATAATAATAATAATAACAACAACAACAACAACAATATAACAAGCTCCATGCAGCAACATTGACAGATTCTAGTACCAAGGAGCATAGATGGGCATGGAATGTGGCAGGTACACCAGACAGTTGAAGAAGAAAAAAGAGCATTGGAAGAATATCTGAAGGACAGTGAAGGAGATGCACTGAAGCTACTACACCATGAAGGCTTACTGAATACTGAAGAGACCAAAGTGGCTACAAGAAAGACCAAACGAAGAATAGAAAAGAGACATGGCAAGGCAAAGTGTTACATACCCAGTACACCAAAAAAACTAGCAGACAAGACCTGGCAATGCCTAAGGACAGGAAAGTTGAAGAAAGAGACAGAGGGGCTAATTCTGGCTGCACAAGAACAAGCCTTAAGAACAAATGCACATAAAGCCAGAATTGAGAGCAACAGACAGCAAATGCCGCCTCTGCAAAGAAGCCGAAGAAACAGCGGACCCCCTAGTCAGCTGCTGCAAGAAGATCGCACAG